GAACTAGGTACTAGTGAGAACTAGGTACTAGTGAGAACTAGGTACTAGTGAGAACTAGGTACTAGTGAGAACTAGGTACTAGTGAGAACTAGGTACTAGTGAGAACTAGGTACTAGTGAGAACTAGGTACTAGTGAATACGGAACGATATTTTCGTTGTCTGTGATTTGAATTCCGAGAACCTTTCATAAACGTTAAAAGCCGTTTATGATTTTATACTGAACACATTCGTAACGTTATCATCGGTCCGGACTCTAAAATCCTAAGGCCGGATTATCATAGGGTTGTAAACGGACGCTTTGATGCCACGTGAATGTGCAAACACCACTTGAAACAATATTTGATAACGTCCAACGTTTCCAACTGTTACATGTTGCTAAATATGTTAATTTCATTTTTATTGTTCTGTGAAAAAAAATGCTTGAGCAGAGATGAAATGGTATTTAATATTTCATCTCTTTTTTTTCCTACCTATGCTGATAGCCTTGAGAGGCTATTTCAGTTTCGCCCTAACATGTAGGTGAGCTCACGGGACTCAAACCGGATTGATGCTAACACTGGCCTTAGCAAGAGCAGTGCTTCGCAGAATCTACCATTGGATCTGAAACGCGACCCACTGACAAGATCCGGCAAAAAACTCAGTGGGCTGTGTCTATGGGTTAATTCGCTCGTCGAGCCCTTCGTCGCAAGAGACGGGTTCTACAATGACGGTGACTGGTGCTTGTGGTAACTAAAAGCACAATTTCATCACGTTCGGCGCCGAGCCTCAGGTCCGTGGCTGATTTCTGAAGTCTTACTATACGTTCTGCTAACAGTAATTTGGTTAATAAATTATTATTTTTGTATTGTCTACTCTATTCTGATTACGTTTAAGTAGCTGCGCAAACATGAGAGCACCAAAAAATGTATTAAACTGTTTTATTTAATAACCCTTAAAACTATAGAATGAGATAATAAAAAAATGCGGAAAAAAACGTTTTTGAGTGGGTAGAGGAGTTCGGGTTCTGGCTTCAGGGGGGGGCGGAGGCTAGAGCGATAGTGCAAGGGCTACCGGAGCTTATAAACCTCACGACGTGAACGTTCATAAACTGCTTTTTGAATTCTGATTTACTACACCAGTAGTGATAAAACCAGAGATTTGAAATTGGTATGATAAAAACGTCGAAAAGCAGTTACGAACGCAGATACCGCATTTAGCAAGTTTTATTAATTTATTGCTTAGATGGGTGGATGAAATCACGGCGCACCGGGTGTCAAATGCCAACAGCGTAAATGCCACCACCTACCAACTTGAGACATGAGTTCCAAGTCTGCCCTACCCTTGAAACCGAGACGCATTACTACTCTCTCACGGCAGAAATAGGCAGCGCGGTAGTATCTACCCCTACAGGGTCAAAACATGCCCTACCATTAGCAAAATTCTACATTAGAGATACATTCGAGAAACATTAGATTATGCAGTATCTATCTTACAGATGGAGAGTATTTGGCCCTACAGGTGGTAATTACTATGACTCATTGGAACTCGAGCTATGATATCCATAACTCTTTAAAAGTATTCACAGACAGGAAGCGACTTTAGTAAATTTCATAAATTGGCTTTAGAACACTTGAAATAATATTTGATAAGACATTAATTACGTAAAAATTGTATTTCTCCGTAGTGAGAAACTGAAAAATTTAAATGTTAAATGAAGTCATGAAGGGGAACTGTTTACAGAGAGCACGACACAGGGTTTAGTGCTACGAGGCTTAGGTCAGAACAACATACGAAACCGGTGTTGCATATCATAATATAATCTTATAAGTAACTGATTGACGTACATTTTTTTTATTGCCCTTGTAGGCAGACGAGCATACGGCCCACCTGATGGTGAGTGGTTACCGTCGCCCATGGACTTCAGCAATGCCAGGGGCAGAGCCAAGCCGCTGCCCGCTGCCTACCGCTTAATACTCTCCACAAGCCTCGTTTGAAGAAGGACATGTCATAGCGCTCGGGAAACACCGCGGAGGGGAGCTCATTCCATAGCCGAATGGTACGTGGCAAAAAAGACTTCTGGAAACGCACTGTGGATGACCGCAGTGGCTCCAGGTAGTATGGATGAACTCTACTCCGGTGGCGGGCGGTGCGATGGTAAAAACATTTTAGTGTATTTACACTTTTACAATATCGCTGTAAATATTTTGAGTTTATTATATTGATAATTATTTCCCTGTGTAGGTATAGGACAAAGGGAAGATCTTCCACCGAGCGGGTAATATGACCGACGGTCCGAATGTTGTTGTTCGGAACATGTTGTAGATATATATGCAAGCTTATCTTGAAAATGTCGTAAGCGATATTCAGCCATCTGTCAAATAACGTGTAGCGTTCTGTGATGGCTACCGCCACAACCGGTTTTGTCAGACTCCAATTTATTAATCATTTTTCTCAATTAAAATGTTCACCAAAATTTTATAAAAATATACAGATTTGCACGTTGGATGCAGGCGGCAATGGACCGGCCCCACTGGACATCAATTGGAGAAGCCCATGTTCAGCAGTGGACAGTGGACAGGCTGAGGTGATGATGATGATGAGACAGATTATATACAAACCCAACTTTTCAAATCAATGACATTCCAATCTTCGATCATTTTTAAAGCTATGTCTACTGCTGCTCGCAAATGCAAAACTGTTATACAATTTGACTAACCAAATTCTGAACTTCAAACCAATAAATATAAGGAATGTAGAAGAATACGAACGTTGAATACATCAAGTCCTACGCACGAAAACGTTACAACAAAGCTCTCCCGCGGAATGTTACCGTGCTTTGTTTTAATATTATTTATCCGCGGATCGATGCGAAGCGGAAAGACTGGCGGCGGATTTACGACGTCCACTCAGTGCAACGTTGTAGGGACGAGTGAGGTCGCAACGAGATTCCAATACTACAATTATTAAAAATTTTGGATTTATTCGTAGTTTTTTTGTCCTATAATACGATGGAGCACGCACAAAAAACATGACTCATGCGGCGTTACCTCGCTCTGAGGCGTATTTTCTTATGACGTTGTCACGTTCAACTACCGTCGGTAAGCCGACTTTACAGACAACCGATTTTTTCGACTATGAACAGCCAGCTCGCACATCGCACTTCAGTACCATGCTTAGGCCCCATGCGAAAAGACGCGTATTTAAAAATAGGTGATTAGTTTTGTATTCAGTGTTTCTAATCATCATAAAATCTAAAATTTCGAAGAAGATCACAGCTTGCAAACTTTAAGACAAACAAATCATTTGTCCAGAGACGTTTGTTTTTAAGCCGATCTCTCTTCATCAACGCAAACTAATTAACAAAAGTCAGATCATCTTGATGTAGTGTGACTATGTGACTAAGCCTATTGCCATTGCGAGCTCATGGCCAGACTGCCTGCAGACAGACGCTTCATTAACCTTTACAGTTAGTCACAAATCATCCCTCACGTTTTACAAGTGTAACGGATTTACAGTCGCACGGGTCGATATCAATCTTGCGCCTATTTCTGTTGCCTAGCTGTAACTCTAACTTGACATAAACATATTTTTTTTGTCTACACATCTGTCAGTAGCGCCGAGGGGCTATTCTTGCTCACGGAGCTCTATTTAAAAGTATTTTATAATCTCAACCCTAGTAAGAGCAGTTCTTCGGTGTATGTACATATAAACGGATCGGAATCGCGACCCACTGAGAAGATCCGGCGAGAAATTCAGTGGATTGTATTAATCATATAACATCATAATCCTTCAAAATAGCATAGCCGTTATTTCGACTTAAGACACGAGGCGGGACGATTTTGTGTTCTCCACTAGACAAAAATAGAACACAAGACAAAACAGTAATTCTGCACTAATAATATTATTTGAGAGAATATCACAATATTCGTCAACGGAGTCAGCCCTAGAGGTCTGCGCTACAGGCCCCGGAGCGAGGCTCACTAATGGGAAAATATGTTTTATTTAACATCAATACACTCGCTACATTCCTGACCTTAAATAAAAATGTATTATTGTGAATTTGCAAGTCGGAAAACGAACATGGATACTACATTGCTTTTTATCGTTGTAAATGGAGATACCTAAAATACATAAGCTACAATATAAAACTTTGTAATATTAGAAAAAACGAAGATTAAACGCTTTTCGAGTAACCAACCGCTCTTTTCGGAAGGAAAGAGAAGTCGAGGAAGATTGCCAACCAGATGGACGGACATTGTCAAGGAGGCCACAAACACCAGCGTCCTGGGCGCCATTAAGCAGGCCGAATGCAGGCAACATTGGAGGAAGCCAGTGCAAAAACTAGACCAAGGTGGTCACGACCCTCAGTAATGAGGAAGCGACGAAGAAGAAAAACCGCTCTTAAATTTTCTCGACATGATTTAAATATTATTTATTTTTCCTGAAATACAAAATTGTATTATCCAAAATTTCAGAAATTATTTAACGAATATAATAAACGCGTGATGAATACTGTTCGCATTATCGTGTCCGTATTGCGTGAATACGTAACGAGCAGCGTGGACAGCTGATGCCAACCGAACACCTGACCGTAGATCACGCCAGTTAACGTGGACACATAACATTAAATGAAATGCTCGCCTAATCACCAAAATTCGATTTTAATCACTAACATCTGGATATTTAGATTCATTTTATTAAATTCCCTCTTGATTCATTACTTATAGTTTTTATTGTTAAAGTGAAAAAGATCATGTTTTCAAAATGGTTTTATTAACACTGAAACACGTCAATAGCTACCATACACAATTAGTAGACAAAAAGACGAGAAACTGTTTTGACATTTATCTATTCATTTATAGATATTTTTTTTCATCTAAGCAACAAAAAAAAAACAAAAAAAGATTACATTAGTTGCGGTACACAAAAACATATTTGACCCGGAATTTTCTGTCAAAGTGTCAACTCATTGTAATGCTAAAGTACCCCTGTTGTGATATTTATATGAAGATGAGACTCACCGATAAAAGGTTTTCCGTCCAATCTCTTCATCCAGTAAAACCTCTGGTGGTGGGGTTTGTTCTCTCTGTCGTACTGCTCCCACTGCTGCCGGAGGAAAGTGTAGCAGACGCAGCAACACTTGACGGTGCCATCGTCATCGCCTTCAGCCTTGTAGCCGGTGGGGGGAGCGTGCGCGCCCAAAAACGGGAAGTAAGGCTCCGAGCTCTGCTAAACGAGAATACAACACGATTACATTACGTATATAAAGCTTTTTTTATGATTGAAAGATCACTGGTAGCCCGGAGGCCTTTCCAGTTTCACCAGGACATGTGGGCGAGCAAAGGCTCGGCCCGGAGGGGTGGGATTTGCTAAGAACTGCCCGAGCGCCTTTGAGGGAGACCTAACAACTCAAGAGCAATTGCCTCGCGAATGAATCTACTACCGGATCGGAATCGCGACCCACTGAGAAGATCCGGCGAGAAACTCAGCGGGCTGATGCATGGGTTAGGTTGCATATATAAAGTAATCTTCTAATCATGCTTACAAGAACCCTTAGGACATTACGTCAATCCTGCTCTATTATGCCATAACGAAAGACTGTTTTCTGACTAAGATACGGTTAAATGATACTTGAAATGGAAGATTTGGCGTAAAATACATTAACAATTTACTTTGAATTATGTACAAACGTTAGCCCATACTTGAGTAGTTGGACAGACAACAACTCTCGATATATTTTCTCGAAGTTTCAGTACATTAGATCAACAAACATTTCGCCCCTCAGACCGGAATGCGTGATTGCTTCAGAGCGGAAACAGGAAGGACAATAGCACAACTAGGACAAACGCACGGGCGAGCTTAGATCGGCAGATAAACAGACAGCCATCCGGCGCTAAGCGGTCATCGAAACTTATAATCAGGAAAAATATGACCACCCTCGCTGAGAAGCGATATCGAAGGGTTTGTCGAAAAAACTAACAAACATTACTCACTTATTCGTAGTCACTTATTCACTTAGTCGTAGATGTCTATGGGCTCCAGTGACCACTTAACAACCAGGTGGGCTGTGAGCTCATCCACCCATCTAAGGGATTAAAAAAACTTATACATGAAAACATGATCAGTATCCTAGAAAGCTATCTCTCGAGTTCTATTACCAATGTCTATTCACCTGTACTTTCTAGTGTTCTTATATTTTAACATTTTTAACACAGCAGTTGGTTAACACACAAGAAGTAATCACGCGCACATTTCTCAACAAGAAACCCGCAAAAAATCCTAACAGCAAATAATAATAAATGAACAATGCGCAACGCATGGGAAAATCTAATGGGAAACGCTTTTACCTTTTTGCCATAGAGCTATACGCGAACTCGGTACCTATTGCAACGATGCGTTTTGTATGGGACATTGTTGACATTGTCACACGCACGACATTATATATCAACAATATCAATTTAGCTGCCTATGTACATAGTTACTTGCATGCGTCTTTATTATTATACTAGCGGCCCGCTCTGGCTCCGCTCGGGTCTTTAACAAAAATTTCAACGATATTTAATTTTGACATTGTGTTATTTTTTTAAATAAAAGAACACTTATTGCGGCATAACTATAATAGTTAGACATATGCTATCGCAATACTTTAATGGGAAACGCTTTTACCTTTTTGCCATAGAGCTATACGCGAACTCGGTACCTATTGCAACGATGCGTTTTGTATGGGACATCGTTGACATTGTCACACGCACGACATTATATATCAACAATATCAATTTAGCTGCCTATGTACATATGTAGTTACTTGCATGCGTCTTTATTATTATACTAGCGGCCCGCTCTGGCTCCGCTCGGGTCTTTAACAAAAATTTCAACGATATTTAATTTTGACATTGTATTTTTTTTTTAAATAAAAGAACACTTATTGCGGCATAACTATAATAGTTAGACATATGCTGTCCCGACACTTTTTGTAAATAATAATGTGTTCTACAAAGTCGTAGTACATTAGTTTATTCTATCATCAAGTTTTCGCAGGGCACGCGATGTAAAGAATACTTTAGGTAATTTTTTTACACCTTGGGTTACATTATTGGAGTTTTAGTAAGGATTCCTAATTTTTTTCAAAAACAATTATAGCTTATGTCACTCGGGAATAGTGTAGCTTCCAAACAGTGAAAGAATTTTTCAAATCGGTTCAGTAGTTTCGAAGCCTATTCAATACAAACAAACAAACGAATATTTCTTCGTTATAGTAATATTAGTATAGAAGTATAGATTATTAAGACACTTAATCCTTGCTTTGACCCCTCAGATAACATTAACAAAACTTTAGGTCGCAGCCCAGTTTTTGTCTCGCGCACTTATTTAGAAAATTTCGTATAGGCCCGTGGATCAAATCACAAAATAATCTAATGGACTCGTTCAATCAAACCGGGCATATTGGATCTTAGAGCAACGATGCTTCATGTATGATATCACATCACACAATGAACATTACAATAGAACACATATACAATAAAACACTGCCTATTTCTGTCGTGACACACTATGCATGAAGGGTGGGGCAGCTGTTGTAACTATACTGAGATCTTAGAACTTATATCTCGAGGTGGGTGGCGCATTTACGTTGTAGATGTCTATGGGCTCCGGTAACCACTGAACACCAGGTGGGCTTTGAGGTCATCAACCCACATCTAAGCAATAAAAAAAAATAACATATTGTAGTGTAAGTGGAACACGGTACCTACTATTGAGTACAGATATAAACTCTATTGTGATTTGTACACTGGTACTGTCAATATATTTAAATTTGATTTAAACCAGCTCCTAATTTATCCTGTTCCCATATTGTATATCCTAAACATATTACTATACGAATATATTCTTAGAAACATCGTTAATCCTACAATTTATCAAACTCCGAAATATTAAGTCCAAGATGACGCACAAATTATGTATTCTCTCAATTTCAACTAATTAACATTCGATTGACGTATTGTAAATGAAACATGGATAAAAGTGGACTGATAATTGTAGAAATCAGATAAATGCGCATTGTAAATTTGATCACTGGTGGTAGGACCTCTTGGGAGTGCACACGGGTAGGTACCACCTCCCGCCTATTTCCGCCGTCAAGCAGTAATGCGTTTCGGTTCGAAGGGTGGGGCAGCCGTTGTAACTATACTTGAGACCTTAGAACTTATATCTCGAGGTGGGTGGTGCATTTACGTTGTGGATGTCTATGGGCTCCAGTAACCACTTAACACCAGGTGGGATGTGAGCTCGTACAACCATATAAGCAATAAATAAAAAAATTGATGCTAAATATATCGTGATCCCGATAATCTTTCGACCAACCCGACAAACTAAAAGGCGACGACATCTGTTTCTCTAAACGAAAATCTCCATGTTTATTTGAATCGCTCAGTTTGATCGTCTCGGAGGCCCTTCACCTCTGTCTTGAATCAGTGTTCCGCACCAGACAGCGACAAACGAGCGCTGACAGTCACGAAATTAACCAATGTCATATGTCAATAGTTTTAAGCGATTCGTCAATTAACGACCGCACCGGTCCGGATCAGAGTCGACCGGTGACGACGACAGCCAACCGGCTCAACTGACGTCAGTTACTTATCAAGTATCAACTTAATTGGGTTGCAATGTTAATTCAATTTAGTGCTATTGTCAATGCCATTAACTTAACATTATCAACTGGATTCGGTTTTAGTATTAATTAAGTGACAGAAGGAAACAGTTTATGCACAAACATAATCTATGTTTTTATTTACTGCGTTTTTTTCCCTACCTAAGCTTGTCTTGAAAGACAATTTCAGCGTAACCTTAACTAGTAGGGGAGCTCACGGGGCTCAAACCGGAAGTGTTGCTAACACTGTCTTTAGTAAGTGCTTCACAGAATCTACCACCGGATCGGAAATGCGACCCACCGAGAAAATCCGGCAAGAAACTCAGTGGACTGTGTCTATGGGTTAACTTACTCGTCGAACCCTTCGTCGCAAGCGACGAGTGCGGCGAGGACGGTGACCGGTACTTGAGGTGCCTAAGAAAACCATTAACGGATCGGGAGGATCCGTAATGATACTGCGGTTAACGTGATGACATTAATATGCAACCATTATATTGATTGAGATGAAGACATTGCGAAGCGTATGCTTGCAGACAGGACAGCACCGGAGGAGTAACTTCGAATAATCATCAAGCAGATGGGACAGATCGTGTCGCTGGTGATCGTCGTGGCTATGAAGCTTAGCAGACACGAATATTGAAATACGATGCTCGATATCTGCAAATACCCTATATAGCAAAAGGAGGCGATCGAGCATGGGAGAGCTCTTCTCCATGCATCGACCCGCCGCTATGGGGCCGGAGGCAGGAGCCCCCTGTAAAAGACCACCTCCCTCAGCAATACAGTTCGGAGCAACCACAAGTTAAAACCACGGGGCGCCAGCGGGATATTCCGGGGCAACAGCGGCACTGCCATACCGTGCTGTCCGTTGTAGTCGTGGACTCTGGCCTCGATAATTCCATCGCGGCTTCAGCCAGGCGACCTTGACGAGAGGTGCGCATCTGGTTGCAGTATTGATTGCGGAATTCGCCTTACCTTGCCCGGGTTCTGTTTCAGGCTGGGATCGGGCGAGAGTGCAGGGGAGTTGTTTAAAGGGTGCGGCATCCTCGTAGGAGGTTCAACAAGACAAAAACCAGACAATAACACGCGTGAGGTGCTATAGACTAGCGCACTACATGAGTCGAAAACTTACGTGTATGGCTGTCTCACTCCTTAACATGAGCGCACGATTGCTTCAGCTGAAATAAGCAAGATGGCGGCTCACGGCACGCCCTACGCCCAGTAAATTGTTGTTTATGTCATGGTAACATAATATTAGGTACATTGCACCTAATTACCTACCTATTTTATAACATTTTTCCGGCCCCAGTCGAACAACAACATAGTCGCATGACCACACCGGCACCGGGCACACACACTGAACATGTTTAACAGTCGCCATTAACACGAAGGCCCAAAGTAGAGCTTATAAAGTATGAAACAAATAGCTTTCCCATAAACCACTGAAAGCTTTCAACTAAAAGCTGTTTATATATACAGTCAGTACAATAGTAAGTTCAGTATAAAACGAAACTCTAGATCACAGAGATACAGTGTTCGAAAACCGGCATGACCAAGTATTTAATAGATCTGTCATGTTTCATTTTTTACGACGAGGACGGTGGCCAGTTATTAAGAGCCTAAAATATTGGATTCGGGGGATCCGACAAGACATGTTTCAGACCACGGGGGTTTTGCGTTGCCCCGTCGCTTGAGTTTGATAAGTAATCATGTTTTAAACCTGCACCGGTTGAACCACTTTGCGGCCTATCTCTGCCACGAAGCAATAATAATGTCCAGTTTGAAGGTCATGACACACTCCAGCCCCCGTAATTCTTTCAGAATATATGCAGCATAATTCAAAATTGTAATAGTAGTAGTATTTTCCAGATTGACCCATTTTTGAGTGACAGGAACTGTTATTATCAACCCCGATGCCTCTACCCGCATTTAGACGTAAGATTTACATTAGAATTATGGCTCTTGCAAATGGGGAGCACGATTTCGTCGCATCACATATAAAATAGAACTTGCTAAGGTTCACATTTTCGTGATTTATTAGCCCCCAAAAACTATAGAGCATTTATTCGTTAAGTACGTATGAGTTTAAAAGGTTTTTAGCGAAACAAGCTTTGCGGTGCTTTAGTAGACTATACAAACTTCTAAGCTTGCTACTCTTATCTGAAAAGTGATTTGAAAAATCGTGCTGTTTGTGGTTAGTTGTGGGTAGACAACAACAAGTAAGATACAACGTCAATGTTTCTCTATTTGTGAAAATATGAACTCACTTTTCCGCAATATTTTGGTAAAATTTCACTGAAATTGTACCAAAATTGGAAATGTCTTTTACGTCATTATATTTGCACGTTATTTCATATTATTTATTTGTTTTGGAAATATTTCAATTGATTTCGTCTCCACATTCATACATTTAGATAAGTCGTTAAATTTACGCTAGAAACGACTCCTCATTATTTTATTTTGAGAAATACTCAAAACATATGATCTAGTGATCCGCTATTAACGGCTACATTAAAGGCATTAGAGATAATTGGTGAAAAAACTTCTTCAATCTAAGCACATGTGTACATGATTTCGGGGCTCATAAATTCAGTAAATGTTTACCTGGGCATCAGGCTTGACTCGGATCGTGTAGTGATCACTGAAGCCGGTGCCCCCGCAAACGAAGCACACGCGGACATCATCACCCTGGGCCGGAGTAGAGGACTTGCGCAACAGCGTCGGAGAATCAGGTTTGGTCGCCAACGAACTCTTTATGTAAGCTTTGGCTTTCTCCATCCCTCACTGTTGACAAAAAAAAAACGTTTTATCAATAAAATGTGGCGAGTAAAAGATAAATTTTACACACACTTCAAGTAAAATCCGAAATGTATCCATCCTACTTTGAAATATTTTTTTAATTACCGGTAAGGCATATAATGCTACAATATGAAGCAAAGCATATGAAAATATGAAAAGCATATGAAAATACAATTGGAAGCGTCCTATAGTGAGCCTTTGAATAACAAATTATATTTCGCTACCGACATTTCTGAACACCGGCAATGCCAATAGCACATCCAGACCGCTGTCTAGCACGAATAACTCTTCTAGACATTGTTTTCAAAAAGATAGTTCATGGAACTGCAGAAACAGCGAGGAAATTAATAAATACAATTGAGGCCGTCAGCGCAAAAGTGGCCTATCCCACAATTTTTCATAATCATGCTTATAATTATATATATATTGCAATATATATAATTATATTTATATTAAATATTACAATATATATATGTAACTATATTATAGTAAATATTATTTTTGTGCGTATTGTTTTTTTGCCTACACAAATACAAATTCATGAAAACTTAAGACTCATTGCTCCATATTAACTATGGTAAGCTTAGGCCACTTTTGCGCTGACGGCCTCAATTCACAGTTCGATTGAACGCGACTAAAATTGATTTTGGATACGCATTGTTATTAAAATAATATGATAAACGCAATTGTTTCATTTTATAAGGTAATGAAGAGGGTCTATCGAGGGCCGGGTGGTATCATAAGGATGGAGGATGTTGTTATGACACCTTGAACCTTAATTACTTGTTCGCCTTATTGGTCAGTCAGTATACTGCACCGACAAATCAAATCAAATCAAACTTTTTTTTTATTCAACATAAATGAAAGTACATATCTACTTGTTGAACGTCAAAAGAACTACCGCCAATTCACAAGAACTAGCCTCCGTTCTGAGAAGAATTGGCAAGAAACTCAGCTGGCATGTCTTTTTTTTTTTAATTTTAGTTGTTTTTTTTTATATTAGATTTTTTTTTAGTATTTATTTTTACAACGGGGTTGAGAAACTCTAAAACCGTTAATTTATATAGTGTAAGCATCAATGTCGCGAACTGGGTCAGATGGTCGCTCCACCGTTCTCCGAAGTAACGTCAAAGGAGCCATAAAATTCTCCCGATACGTACTTTCAATCAGCAAGCGGTTCTAAAACAAGTTTTTATTGAGGAAACGGAAACTTCAATTCTCGTACATATTACAGTCTTTAAAAATATAAAAAAAATTTTAAGTTGATTTATCATTCAATTGCAATTCCCTTAACTATTTGTATGGAAGATATCGTGCGGTAAACTTTATATCACCATGTCAACCCCGTGAACAAACCAAATTGCATTAAATTTAATGTTTTTAAAAACTGTATAAACATATCAATTAGCGACCCGTCATCGCTTCGCTTCGGAAACATTAAATTTTATTATTGATAGCCGAGTCCCGCGATGTTACCCGCAGTTCATGTCGTACCGCGGGTGACGCCGCGGGGCGAAGCTAGTCTAAAAAAAGTAGCCTAGCCTTATATCATCAGCTACCTATCAGTGAGAGTCCCGTCAAAATCGGTCCAACCGCTGCAGGGATTAGCCGTAACAAACAAACAGACAGACAGACAAGACAGACAAAAATAGAAAAAAATGTTATTTTGGTGTACCTACCGTATATATATTCATATGCATGTAGTAAAAAGCGGTTATTTCAATATTACAAACAGACACTCCAATTTTATTTATATAGATTTTAATGAGAATTAGTAAAAAAATGTTAATATTATTTTTTATGATAGAGATCGCGCCGTGCGCTTTTGTGCGTGACTTCCCTTTATGCCTTCGCGACCAGGAACTTTTCCACTTCACGATACTCGTATGCAAGCTATTATACAAAAAGAAAATAAAAGTCATCAAGCCCTCCCCCACAACCCAGACTGACAACAAACATCGTTTAATGAATATATAATTACGATACCGCTGCGATTGTGTCGCTTCACAACGCAAATGCGCTGTTATGAGTCACGCGACCCGCGTTAATGTGGAGCTGGGATTTGTTGGTCTAATGAGTGGAATAAAATAAAAATCAATAATTGGTCAACAATTTGAGTTTTACTTGTGTTTGACACATCATTATTGTTGTGCTATTGTGATTCGTCGATTTGAAGTCGTCGTGGCCTAAAGGATAAGACGTCCGGTGTATTCGTTGTTGCGATGCACCGGTGTTCGAATACCGCAGGCGGGTACCAATTTTACTAATGAAATACGTACTTAACAAATGTTCACGATTGACTTCCAAGCTGAAGGAATAACATCGTGTAAAAAAAGTCAAACCCGCAAAATTCTAATTTGCGTAATCACTGGTGGTAGGACCTCTTGTGAGTCCGCACGGGTAGGTACCACCGCCCTGCCTATTTCTGCCGTGAAGCAGTAATGCGTTTCGGTTTGAAGGGTGGGGTAGCCGTTGTAACTATACTGAGACCTTAGAACTTATATCTCAAGGTGGGTGGCGCATTTACGTTGTAGATGTCTATGGGCTCCAGTAACCACTTAACACCAGGTGGGCTGTGAGCTCGTCCACCCATCTAAGCAATAAAAATAAAAAAAATGATTTTCGTGCACGACGATACTCCATCTAAACTATTCTAAACGAAGCAAATCCTTTTTTATTATAAACGACGCCACCGCACACTCCTGCTTGGTCTTCGCAATGAAAATCTAAAATACCAGACGCATATGTTGTGGTTCATTGTCCTTGATTATCGTAGCCTCTTGGAATCTGATATGAATTATATCATAAATTTTTAGTTTTATATGAAAAAGGAGTATCGGGCCTAAATCGAGCATAAAGTGTATGGGAATTCGTTACTGTCGCCCAGACACCCACAATGCCAGGACTACTAGATTAGGTACGGTCAATCAAAATTATTAGTCAATAATAATGCGTTTAGGATGATGTTGTCACTGCCGCACTTTTGTAGTGTAGTGCATCCACAATGTTTGCGACATCTCACACAGACTACTTCTTTGCAATAATGCGGAAGATAAGTGCATCGTTATTGCTTCGGGTGCGTGACAGTGGCAACGGTCTTCTGAACATCATATCGAGCAAGATCGAGGTAATGCTAATTAATAGCATTTGCAGCACGCACTTGGGAAACAAAAATTGCAATAAATAGTTGTGTTAGGTTTTTAAATTACTAACATAGATTACAGGTACTAACAAAACGTTATGGTTTGTACTGAAATAAAGTATTAATAAATAAATAAATAAATAAATAAATAAATAAACGTCAATTAAGAAACCTTTGACGATAAAACATTATTTACACAGTAACAATGAAGTTGGAAGAGTCCATTGATAAGACGTTGTACTCCTTCTAGTGTTGCGAGCATGCCGTGAGTAAAGTCTTTGGCGCCGTTTATTCTAAAGCCATATACTTACCTAAAATCTGATCAAGAACGACAGAAAGTATGGATGGAGATAAACGCGTTGCGAGTCCGAACAAATATGCATAACCACTCTACACAGGAAAGCTTCTCGTGTCGCGAGATGATTGTCAGTAGGTCGCGCCCAAAACACGTCATTACGGATCCTAACTATCCATTAACGGTGCTTTTAGGTACCACAAGCACCGGTCACCGTCCTCGTCGAACCCGTCTCTTGCGACGAAGGGCTCGACGAGCGAATGAATCCATAGACACAGCCCACTGAGTTTCTCACCGGATCTTCTCAGTGGGTTGCGTTTCCGATCCGGTGGTAGATTCTGTGAAGCACTGCTCTTGCTAGGGTCAGTGTTAGCATCACTCCGGTTTGAGCTCCGTGAGCTCGCCTACACGTTAGGGTGAAGCTGAAATAGCCTCTCAAGGCTATCAGCATATGAAGGAAAAAAAAGTAGGTCGTGATGTCTGTGGACGTCTGAATGGCTCGACTTCCCATATTCATTCATTACAAGCAAAAACCGTATCCTTTATAAAACAATACTTTTAACATAAGTAAAAACGCCATACCGATGCAATAATTAATTAAAAGTCTAAATGAAAAAAAAAAAATACATCGCGTCTCCGAGAAGTATAAAAGTTATTTCTTAGTTAATAAGCTTTACACGCCGATAAACTTAACAAGTTACGAACGTGCGTATATATATGTACTTGGTTAATGAAAATTCTAATAAGCCAAAGCAATTTCGGAGGTCGCAGACTTTACGAGAAATTCTTCTCAATATTAACATTATAGTAAATTAAATTAGTCCCGTTATAATTTCTTATATGATGAAGCGATTTTTTAACCATAATGTCAGATATAGCAACAGCGACAGGGATAATACCAGCATTATTCAATGATTTACGTTATATTGCGAAAACAGTGGGCGATTCTACGGAGGTAACACCGATATTGACCTCCCATCGATTATGGAGTCATATCCGACGGTTAAAATTATTGATTCATAATTTTAACGTCGTCAGGTTTGAGCCCCGTGAGCTCACCTACTAGTTAAGGTTATGCTGAAATAGCCTCTCAAGGCTCTCAGCTTAGATAGATATCTACAACATAAATGCCACTACCCGCCTTAAGATGAGTTCCAAAGTCTCAGTATAGTTAATTTTGTTTTGTTTTGTTTTCCTACTTAAGCTGAGAGCTTTGAGAGGCTATTTCAGCGTAACCTTAACTTGTAGGTGAGCTCACAGGGCTCATACCTGACGACGTTGCTAACACGGACCCTAGCAAGACCGTGCTTCGCAGAATCTACCACCGGATCGGAAACGCGACCCACTGAGAAGATCCGGCGAGAAACTCAGTGAGCTGTGTCTGAAGGTGTATAGTTACAACGGCTGCCCCACCCTTCAAACCGAAACGCATTGCTGCTTCACGGCAGAAAAAGGCAGAGCGGTGGTACCTACACGTGCGGACTCACAAGAGCTTCTGCCACCAATAATTACGCAAATTATAATTTATGCGGGTTTCATTTTTATTAC